CTCTGTTCTGTGTGTGCATGTGTGTATGTAGAGAGATGGCGCTCCCTCTCAGCCAGAACACTTCTATTGCTGCCAAGAGTCCTGACTCCATGGCCTCATGCTTCAATTCCTTACTGATGTTGCTACCCAGAGGGAACAGACCCCCAGGCTTTAAACATTCCTGGTTGTCCCCTAGCCAGTTTGGCTCAATCCATAGAGTGTCGGCCTGTAGACTGAAGGGTCCCAGGTTTGATTCTGGTCAAAGGCACACACCTCGGTTGCAAGTTCCTCCCCAGCTAGGGCCCTGGTCAGGATATGTGCAGGAGGCAACCAATTGATGTATTTCTCTCTGTCTTTCCCTCTCTCTTCCAGTCTCTCTAAAAATCAATGGAAAAAAAATCCTCAGGTGAGGATTAAAATAAACACACACACACACACACACACACACACACACACACACCTATTCCTGGTTGTAATAACACAGCTAGCTCCTTCCCTGGATATTTAAGGGAAGGACAATCCTTATTCCTCAGTGCTCTTTGGCCATCTGATCATCAGGAAGGTATGAACTGGTAATTTCTTCCCTTAATGTCTAACTTCCACAACTGCTGTGATCATTTGGGGATGATCCCGAAGGGACAAGAGGTGGAGGTTTCTGTGCCTTTTGCTAACCTACTGGTTCTGCTGGAGGCAAGAGCTGGAGAGAGAGAGAAAGCTGTCAGCTGCTGCCCTATTATAGCCCTGATATAGTCCCATCCTTGGCTAATTAAACCTTTCAGCACTCCCAGCCACCAACATAAAGATTGTAGTTTTCTCATTTAGATTCCAGTCATAAAGAACTTGAAGGAAAAAGGAGAGGAGGGGGAAAGCTTGGAGGCCATGGAGCCATTTCTTTCTAAGTCTGACTACAGAGACAAAGTACCCTCAATACCACACACACACACACACACACACACACACACACACACACACACACGCCTTTCCTCCTGGGCCCCAAGAACCTAATTTTTCACATTTGGAAAACCCAGATGATTTTTGCCTGGGTCCATCTGGCTTTCCAAATAACCTGTCTACTTGATAAATAACATAAGTTAAATTAGACAAGACAAACAAAGAGAGGGGTGGGCAGTCAGCTTTTCCCCTTCCCTCAGCCTCTGAGAAAGAGACGGGGGATAAAAAGCCTACATCACGACTCACTCCCAACCAACCCTGCCCCAGCACTTTCCACCCCTTAGTGATTCTCTATCTTGGAGCTGGGCACTGCCTCTTCACCCCCACCTTCAGCCCACCAGCCATCAAGAATACTAGACTGTGGTTCCTTCTAAAGAAAAAGGAAAGAACCCAGGCACCCAGTCCCATAGTTTCCACCAACCACCCTTCGGCTGTAGCTACTTCAAACCCCCCTTTTCCATTAGGTATCCCACCACAGGGAACACCTAGATCAATAAGCTGAAAATGAAAACCCTTTAAGGTGAAAGAAGAGGGGACAGAAAGGGAATGGAAAGGATGTGGATAATACAAACCAAGATAATACAACTACTAGGGACAGAGATCTGGCACCTTGGTATCAAAAGGTAAAATCCAAGGTGACATGGGCCATATACAAAGCTATGCCCATTTCTCTAGTCCGGGTACACAGCTGACACAGCTAGCCATCACTGGTACTGAGATAGACCCATGGGCTGCCAGTTGTGGAGACTGGTAAGGCTTGGCCTCTCGTTCCTAATGAGCCAGACAGTAAGAGGCATTAGCACCAACCCTTCTTTGGCAGTGGCTAGCCAGCATTAGCTCAACCTCAATCATTTCACATTAATTTGTCCCTTTGATCCTAATTATAACCCTGGGAGCTAAACCAAGCCATTTCACTTTAGATTCATTTTCCAGTTGAGGGGAAAAGTACAGAGAGAATGACTTATGCAAGGTCATATCACTTGTAAGTTGCAGAGCAAAGACTTAAGGTCTCAAATAGCAGTAGCTCTTCCAGGCTTCAGTTCACCCAATCCCATCTCGATCCCACATTAGACAGCTTTGTAGGCCATTCAGCTCTAAACTTTTCAGCAGTAGCTCTTCCAGGCTTCAGTTCACCCAATGCTCAATAACTACTTATTTGGGTATGTGGCAGGCATGACACTACCCAAAGCATACATTTCCAACAAAACAGATATGGTTTCTGCTTTCACAGAATTAAGTCTGGGGAAGACAGACCTAAACATACATTAAGGTGGCAAATGGTGCTTTTAATAAAAATGGGAAACTAATTAAGAAAGGGGTGGTAACAGAAGTCCTCTTTAGATCTAAGCTAACAATCGGAGAATTATACATTAGCCAAAGAACAGTGGAGGGAAGGACATTCCGAACAAAGGACACTGTGGAAGGCCCTGAACCGAGTGTCATGTGAATGGCAGGAGTGGATAGGTTGAAAGGCAGAGCTGTACCACAGAGGACCTTGCAGGTCATGAGTATGAACTTGAGTACGATGGAAGAGACTGGAAGCCTTAGTGGAGAAGTGGCATCTAATTTATGTGTATACAAAGGTGACCCTTTTGCTGCTGTGCAGATTGGACAGAATAGGAACGGGAGATCAGATCACACTGTAGTACCCTGGCAAGAAGTTATCAAATCTTGGGAAAAGGGATTGGCTATAGCACTGGGAGAAGTGAGCTGATTTAGGATGTAATTTGAAAGTAGAAATAATAGGACTTAGAGATTGTTTGATTGTGGGACTAAGGAGGTGTCAAGAATGCCTTTCAGTTATATATTTTTTTAAAAAATATATTTTATTGATTTTTTTACAGAGAGGAAGAGAGAGGGATAGAGAAACATCAATGGGAGAAAATCATCGATCAGCTGCCTCTTGCACACCCCCCACTGGAGATGTGCCTGCAACCAAGGTACATGCCCTTGACCGGAATCGAACCCGGGACCCTTCAGTCCGCAAGCCGATGCTCTATCCACTGAGCCAAACCGGTTTCGGCGCCTTTCAGTTATAAAGTGATGGGAATAGATTGCACAGCATAGTGATTATTGTTAATACTACTATATGACATATTTCAAAGTTGCTAAGGGATAAAGCTTTTTTTTTTTTTTTTAAATGTTTTTATTGATTTCAGAGAAAGGAGATAGAAACATCAATGAGAATCACTGATTGGCTGCCAGCTGCACACCCCCTACTGGGGCTCAAGACCACAACCTGGGCATGTGCCCTTGACTGGAATTGAACCTGGGACCCTTCATTTCACAGGCTGATGCCCTATCCACTGAGCCAAACCAGCTAGGGCATGGGATAGATCTTCAAAGTTTTCATCACAAGAAAAAGTATTTGGTAACTATGTATGGTTATAGATGTTAAATAGACTTGTGGTCATCAGTCCACAATATATACAAATATCAAATACATACCTGGAACTATCTTAATAATATACACCACCAGATTTGAAGGAATAAAATAAAATTTTTATAATAACTTAAAAAAAAAAATGGCCGGGTGTGTGGAGGTGGCTTTTACTGAAATGGGAAACAGGAGGAAGCACAGGTTGTAGGAAAACTGTAACATTTTAAAGATGTTAAGTCTGAGACTCTTGAGATAATGGGCCTTTAAGAACTGGTCTGCAAAACATACTGGAGTTGTGACACTGGTAATTTCTTATGCTTGCAGAGTAACACTTGACACAATGTAGTTACATATATTTTCCAAAATAAGCTTCACTGTAACTCCAAGACAAACATGCATTACTATCCTCCTTTCATAGGTATAAATGGAGGTTCTCAGAGGGAGGGGCAATAACTTTCAGCTTGGACCTGTGGTTGCAAATCTAAGGGCTGTAAAGACAGTTACCATTTCTGTTTTGCTTTTTATTTATTTATTTATTTATTTTTTAATATATTTTATTGATTTTTTAAGAGAAGAAGGGAGAAAGATAGAGAGCTAGATACGTCGATGAGAGAGAAACATCAACCAGTTGCCTCTTGCACACCCCCTACCGGGGATGAGCCCGCAACCAATGTACATGCTCCTGACCGGAATCGAACCTGGGACCTTTCAGTCTGTAGACCGAGGCTCTACCACTAAGCCAAACCGGTTTCGGCCTGTTTTGCTTTTAATCCTTACCGGAGGATATTTTTCCATTGTTTAGAGGGTAGAAGAGAGAGGGGGAAACGGAGAGAAACACTAATGTGACAGAAACACATCAATTGGTTGCCTCCGGCACAGCCCTGACCAGGGCTGGGATGGGGGAGGAGCCTGCAACTGATGTTAATACATATATGCCCTTGACCAGGACCCTTCGATCCACAGGCTGGCGCTCTATCCACTGAGCCAAACAGGCTAGGGCAAGACAGTTATCATTTATGTAAACCCTCCTGACCTGCACACTGAACCTGGGACCCTTCAGTGCACAGGCCGATGCTTTATCCACTGAGCCAAACCGGCTAGGGCATGACCTGCACACTGAATTCAAACCACTTGGCAAGGAAATTTGATTCATTCGCTGGTGTTGAGAAGCCAGTGAGGGGACAAGTGCAGCAGCCTCTCTCCAGATCCAGAGGGCTTCCATCGGAGACAACGTGCTCTCAACATTAGGCAGGCACTGACCTAGAAGGAGCATTCAATCTGGACAGGAAATCCTGCCCTCCAGGAATTGAGATTTATTGAAAAACTACATACATATTAAAACCTCTTTACATACATCTGCCTCATTACAAGATTACAAATATACAAACATGAAATCTGTCCAAGTCAGCATCTTGTGCATTAGAAACAACTGGAGAAAACTTATTCCCTAATTTCATCAAATAAATTGTTGTTCCTCACCTGTCAATAAAAAATTGGCACAATTCATCCAACTTCCCAAGTCCAACTCCCGATTGTGAAACCACATTATTCACAGGAAATGTTTTTCCTAAAACAACAGTGATGGTCAGTTCTGAGGGGGTGGGAAATGCCTAAAATCTGAGTGCCTCATGGCAGTTTAGGGAAACTCAGGAGTGATGGCAATTCTTATATCCTATATAATATAGATAATATGCAAATTGACCCTCACATCCTTATGTCACAAGATGGCTGCCCCACGATGGCTGCCCCCATGTCATCACAAGATGGCCAGCAAGGGAAGGCAGTTGGTGGCAACCAGTACTGCAGAGGAGGCAGTGGGGGAAGGGGGGAGAGAGAAACAAGCCTGCAGGGAAGGGCAGTTGGGGGCGATTGAGCAGGCAGAGGAGGGCAGTTGGGGGTGATTGGGTCGGCAGGGGAGCAGTCAATCAGGCAGGGAGGGGCACGGTTAGGGGCAATCAGGCAGGCAAGCAGTTAGGAGCCAGCTTATTGATTTTAGAGAGAGAAAGGGGGAGGAGAGGAAGAGAAAGAGAGAGGGAGAACGAGAGAGAGGTCAGTTGCCTCCCACATGTACCCTGACCAGAGATTGAACCTGAAACCCAGATATGTGCTCTGACCGGTGATCAAACCCCTAATCTTTTGGTGCACAGAATGACGCTCCACACTGAGCAACACCAGCCAGGACTCTCTTAACAATATTTTGATTTAACTCCATGACGGTCTTCTCTCAAAATAGATAATGAAGTATTAAACTGTCCTCTGGTTATACTTCTTTTTGTCAGGATGAGAAGGGACGTCCTTGAACAAGTGTTTCAAATTGGGAATTTAACCCCAGGAGAGAGCTCTCTGTCCCATGGGATATCTCATGTTGCATCTTCATCCTCATACACCAGAAAATTGGAGCCAACATCTTCCTGACTTGGGTACCAGTGTGAGTCCATATGATAAAGGAAGCAAAGGTTTGTTGAACACCTGGTACTGTCTTGGGAAGAGGAAACAGGAAAATGGAAGGGGCAAGACTAATGTACAGCCCAGCAATTCCTAGGTTCTCCAAGAAGTAGCTCTTTCACCGGGTCCTGGCCACCCTAGTATAGATCCTAGTGGCGTGAAGGAGTCATGCTGGTACTGACAGTCACTGCTTTCTGTAAATTTCTGTAATGCTATGCTTTTCCCTCCTCCTCTTCCTCTAAGCCTTCCTTTCACAAAGAGGTATCAACCCAGGAAGCTGCTAGGATAAAATGTCAAATATTTAATGAAGAAATCAAGTCTTCACCCAAGTATCCCATAGGTCAATGTTGTAAACACTGAAGAATTAAGATTAGTGGCCAACCCAGGAGATAATACTGGGACAGGAAAGAGATATCCACAGCCATGCAGTGGAAAGAACTAGAGTCTCTGTCGACAATCTTAATGCATCGATTCTGAAGGAAGGGAAGGCCCATCCATGTGAGCATCAATTCCAACTTTCAATGACAGAACTTCTCAAAGCAGTCTCAAGGTAGGCACTGGCACCCCATGGTGTTAGCTTTCCAAGTACTTGAAGATGCTCTGCTTCGATCCTGAAGTGCTATCACCTGTTTTGAGGCGCTTAGGTGAAGGCGTTCTCATTATGGATGGGCCCTTTCTCCTCACCTAGAGAGCAGAGAGAGCATCATGACCAGCTCAAACCCTCATGCAACGCTTACCTTCAACGCTTACAGTCAGCTCTTTAGCTAATTTAACTCAGTTAAATCATAAACGATTAACGACAGAAAACAACAACAAAAAACAGAAAAGTAAATTTCATAACTGATTACCTACTGGGGATAGCAATCTCCTTGTACCTTTCTGAGGAGTGCAATATTAACACCGCAGCATAAGCCTTTATGCCGGAAATACATATTTTTTAAATTAACAAATAAATAAAATTCTGCTTTGGGAAACCATCAAATCAGTTCTCAAAGTCCCTACCTGAGGCTTAGATGATTCCTTTGCTGTCTCAGCCTTGACAGGAGAAAGTGTATGGAAGACAAAGTTTCTTGAATTTCGGGGAGCACTGGGGTTGAGGTCAGAGAGGGCAGCCAGTTTCTGAAGTACAGCTTTGGGCTGGTTTAGCAATGAGCCTGTCTTTGGCTGAGGAAAAAAGAGTCATCTGGTATCAAAATCCAAGTGCCAAAGAAAGAATGAGAAGCTACTGTCTCCCTGAGGGGACATATTCCTACCCCATTCGGCAGAAGAGAAATAGCAAGGTCCTTTGCCAGGTACTTCTATTTTCGCAGCCACCTCCCTCCCCCAAGGAGAGTATATTCTCTTAGCTTGACCTGGGCCTTTATAACACTGCAGATCATGATGTCAGGCTAACAATGTCCCCAACCAACCTGGTGGGCACTTCCCGGTCTGATGGCTTCAAAAGGATTTCTGAGTAAAGGTGTTGATTCTTGTATAACCACAGTACGATTGGCTGAAAAGAAAAACAGACAGACAGGCTTGTTCTGGGTAAAATTAGGCAGAATTACTTCTAAATTGTCTTTAACTAAACTTTAATAAACTTTAGTTTATTAAACTAAAACCACCGGGACTCTGATTACTTTATAATGGTGATTTGAAACCATAGCAAGTGGCTACAAGAAGCCAGCCAACCAAGCTGAACTTATTGACTAATCACTAACAGTAATAAGAAAAAACAAGAATGGTAAAAGTGTGGAGGATGTTTAAGAGCTTCAGCTCCAGAGTTAGATATATCTGGCTTCAAATTCCAGCTCAAACACCTAAGTATTTAATTCTGGGCAACTAAATAAAAAATACAGAATTCATTCCTATGAGCTATCTTAGAACATAAAGCAAAACCAGCTGCCTACACTCATAAGTACAACATGCACAGCCCAATAGACAAAGATCTAAGAACACTGTCGCTCCCTACTTCTTTAAGACAATATGAGACACAGGCCCATGACCACACAGCCGCTGAAGGTTGTAGTCATCTCCAGGGGACTACATCCTGAGGACTAGAAACTCACCATTTTTCTGCAATGCTTTGGCTGTGACTTTCTTGGCCAGCATCATAAACTGACTGTCTTCTCCAATTTCTTCCTCTTCTTCAGGTAAAATTTTCCCCTGCTGTGCCTTTAGATAAAAATCAGCATTAACAGAAGTCCACAGCTCCCCCAAATAATTGGCATAGCCTGGAGTGTGAAGCTAAGATACCTGGGATATCATTTGTTTTCCTTTTTTACAATCTTTTCTTAATTTAGACAAAAAAAAAAAAAAAGATTTTGGACAAGCAAACATAAAGAAATGCTTATGGTTGCCCTAGCCGGTTCAGCTCAGCAGATACAGCGTCGGCCTACTGATTGAAGGGTCTTAAGTTCGATTCCGGTCAAGGGCATGTACCTGGGTTGCGGGCACATCCCCAGTAGGGCGTGTGCAGGAGGCAGCTGATCGATGTTTCTCTCTCATCGATGTTTCTAACTCTCTATCCCTCTCTCTTCCTCTCTGTAAAAATCAATAAAATCTATTTAAAAAAGAAAAAAATTAAGAAATGCCCATGGTAAACCTTCTCTAAGCACAAAAGGAAATTCAAGGATTAAAAGAAACAGCAATATACTGCCCAAGACTTTGAAACTATTGTGACAAGCTAGGTGACTAGGTCCTCTCCTCATACCCGAGGGTCAAAAGAGGCGAATTTCTTGCCAACTTCCTACCTGGTCCCGAAGCCATTGCTCTCGCTGAATTCTCTCCTTCCTCCATCTGGCTTCTGTCTCATCAAGCTGTTCCTCGATCTGTTCATCATCAGAGTCTCGGTGGAACAAGTCCATCTGGGAAGCATCATCTAAAGCAAAGAGGTAAGGCTGTCAGCACTCAGTAATTCCCATAGGAGAGGACGCCTGGACAGACACAAATGAACTCTTAGCATTTACCATATACTGGCGCAACCTCTTCTCATTCACTAATAGAAAATAATGGTTACAACCAGGTACTTCCTAACAGCCTGCCACGGTTTTGATTTTCATTGTCATCTTAAACTGGACAAACACGCACATTACACCATTTGCTTTCTAAAGACAACCACCAAGCCAGGTCAGCATGGCTCAGTGGTTGAGAGTCAAACTATGAATCAGGAGGTGATGGCTTGATTCCTGGTCAGGGCACATGCCGGGTTGTGGCTCAATCCCCAGTGGGGGAGTATAGGAGGCAGACAATCAATGATTATCTCTCATAATTGATTTTTTTTTTTTTTCTCTCTCTCTCTCTCCCTTCCTCTCTGAAATCAACTAAAAAAAAAAGACACTACCAAGATACCTATGTTTTTCCATCGAAATTTCCTCGTTCGTCCAGGACCATCACTGTGCAGATCCCCATCAGCAAGGTACCTCTCTTGGTATAAACGGAGCTGTCGTTTATCATCATCCAACATTGTTTTCCTACAACAGGAGAAATATAGTGTTCAAATCGAGCATCACTATGTCTGATTATAGGGCTGCCTTAAGACATATCCCATTACTCAGAAGGGCTGTTAGTATACTGACATGTGTATCTTCTTTATTTGACTCTGTAGCTCCTCATCAGAAGGAAGTACTTCATCAATTACGTCCTCTTCATATTCATCAATCTCTTCCCCATCATACTCATCTTCACTTCCCACATCACTTCCTGACACCTCGGCCTCATCCTCCAGGTATCTCTTCAATCTCCTGGAAAATAATTTTGAAGAGTAGAAAATGCAACAGTGAATACACACAAAGAATATGGAAGCAATGAGAAAAGTAGAATATAGAGCCATCTCAAATAATATTACCTTTAACTTTAAAGAAATACATTTTGATAATATTTAAAAGTCTATCATTTCATAGCATTGTGTGCCAGTAACTGTGCTTTACAAACATCGTTGCATTTTCTCACATATTCCACTATGTATGTACATAACATACACACAACACATTTTGTATCCATTTGGGTTGTTTTCACCCTTTGACGATTAAAAATGATGCTGCTATAAACATCGTTGCTATTTTTCCCTTCAATTTACAGTTGAAGAAACTGAGACTTAGAGAATAAACTATTTACCCAAGGTCACACAGCTAGGAGGTAGCAGAGCCTGGGTTCAATCAGGTTGGTGACGTTAAAGCCAGAACTCTCAATCTCTTCTATATTTGAGACATACCTGTTAGAAGGTTCAAACTATCTGGTTTTTTAAGCTCACTAGCTTCAGAAGACACAATGGTACAGGAAGGAAATAGACTTGGATCTCTTGCAGTCCACCAAGACCCCCAAGTTACAGGCATGATTGAGGATCAGAGTTACATTTGTTGTTTCCTTTATTTATGCATTCACTGGTTTAGTCTTGTATGTGCCCTGATGGGAGACTGAACCTGCAACCTCGGCATGGGATTGGTATGGGGACAATGCTCTAACCAACTGAGCTGCCTGGCCAGGGCCTTATTTGTTTGTTTGTTTAAGCTGAGTTTCTCTAAATCCTTGCAATTCTGCAGAATTCTTTCAGGGGCTACTAGCCCAATCTTTTCCATCCACCCTCTTTGAGAAATTCAACTTTTAGTTGTCATTCTTTATAAGATTCCATTCAGATTCTGCAGTTAAATATGGTTTAAGATCCACTGCTTTAGAAAAAATCTACAGATGATCCAAAGCTGTATGAGGTAGTTTATTTGACAGGTAATAAATTAGAACCCAAAACTGATCTTGATAGAATGGAATGATGGGCTAAGAACAATAATATAAATCTAGTAGGGATCAATATGATGTCCTATAGGTGAATTCCAAAAGTCATCCACATAAAATAGAATACTAAATACCTTTTGACATGTCCTTTATAAAACTTATAACATCCTGGGAAATTGCTTATGGATAGGCTAAGTGGGAAAGAAAGCAAAGTTGCCGAAACCGGTATGGCTCAGCAGCAGAGCGTCGGTCTGCGGACTGAAAGGTCCCGGTTTCGATTCCGGTCAAGGGCATGTACCTTGGTTGCGGGCACATCCCTGGTGGGGGGTGTGCAAGAGGCAGCTGGTCGATGTTTCTCTCTCAATGACGTTTCTAGTTCTCTATCTCTCTCCCTTCCTCTCTGTAAAAAATCAATAAAATATATTATTAAAAAAAAAAAAGAAAGCAAAGTTGTAAATATAAAAAATTATACAGATTCCAACTATATCAAAATATATGTATAAAAAAGGTGATGGGGCAAAAACCACCCGAACACTTTCCATAAAGATTCTGGATGGTGAACACAGACAACTTTTAATTTAATCTTTCCATATTCTTTTAAATATTCTAAAATAAATGATTACTTTCATGATCAGTACAATAAGAAACTAGGATGAAGAAAACCTGGAATGACAGTAATTCATAGGGAAAAAGATCCAGGGAATCTAGTTGACTACTAGATCCTCAGGGTCTACTGTGACTCAGCTTTTGACCTTCGGTTACATTCTAAGGTGAGCATGTCAAACTGCGGCTCTTTGGCCCCTGCTAGCCTTTTAGTTTGTCATGCTTGTTCTAAGGAGTATGCCATGCATCCAGAACAAGGAATATGGCCAGACACACTTGAAGGAAAAGAGAATATCCAGTATGTGGAGAGTATGGAAACAATGTCATGTGGGAAACAGCTGAAAGACCTAGTATACGTCCTTAAGTATAGAAATCCCTTAAGGAAGACATGACCATCTTTGAATACTCAAGAGCTAACATGGGAATAGATTTTATGCGAACCACAAAAAGCAAAAACAGAACCAGCACATTTAAATAAAAAGGTGACTAGCTTCTAGTACAATTCAACCTTCAGAACCTTCTAGCAACTGAAGGAATGAAAATAACACCTACATTTGCCTTTTCAACTTCACAGATTGTCTCTGGAGTTCTTCTTCATCCTCATCCTCATGGTCGTCCAGGGCCTCATGTTCATTACCAGAGTCACTGTGTTCATCCTGCAAAATCATATGGAATCACACCCAAGGCCAGGCAGAGTACAATGTGTTCTCAACTAAAACAGGGTTTATGAACTTCTGCCCAAACATCTTATTCTACGAAATTGCTTCTCATAGATGCTGAGCTAGAACTTTTAAGAACTCAGACTAGGAAAGAAACCCATATAGCAGCACTACATGAAGTACAGTTATGATTACTTTGCTCCCTTCAAACTCACCTCATCACTACTGAACTCATTATCATTTGGGACAAGCCGAAAGTCTCCAAATTCTTCCTCTTCACCTTCTTCTTCCCTAAAATGCAAATCCATAAATCAGTAAGTTGTTGAAAGCAAACTAGAAGAATTTAAGAATTGAAAATATTTTAAAACAAAATATCTTCAAGAAACAGGAAACAAGATATTTTTACTTTAATTTTTAAAAAAATTGTGATATAACACATAACAAATTTACCACCTTAATCTTTTTTTCAACATTTTTTTAAATGTTTTTCTTTAAATTGATTTTATAGAAAAAGGGAGAGGGGAAAAGAGAAACATCAATGATGAGAGAGAATCATCAATCAGATGCCTCCTGGGGACTGAGCCCGCAATCTAGGCATGTGCCCCGAACAGGAATTGAACAGAGACCTCTGAGCCACACCAGCCGGGCCCATTTTTAAGTGTATACTTCACTATGTTGAGTGCATTCACATTGTTGTGAGCTAACTTTCAGAACCCTTTTCATCTTGCAAAACTAAAACTCTATATCCTTTAAATATCTCCTCATTCTTCCCTCTCCCTAGCTCCTGACAATCATCTTCTACTTTCTGTCTCTATGAATTTGACTATTCTAAGTGCCTCAAATAAGTGGAATCATATAATATTTGTATTTTCCTTTCTGGCTTACGTCACTTAGCATAATATCCTTACAGTTCATCTAGGTTGTAGCATTTATTAGAATTTCCTTCTTTTTAAGGCTGAATAATATTCCACTGTGTATGTATAGAACATACACACAACACATTTTGTATTCATTTGGGTTGTTTTCACCCTTTGAATATTAAAAATGATGCTGCTATAAACATGGGTACAAATATCTGAGTCCCTATTTTCACTTCTTTTGTATATAAACCCAAAAGTAGAAATGCTGAGTCATATTCTATTTAGAATTTCGTTTTTAGGAACTGCCATTGTTTTCCATAGCAGCTTCTGTTTACATTCCTACCAACAGAGCACAATGATTCCAGTTTCTCCATATCCTCACCAAGTTATTTTCTGTAGGGGTGTGTGTGTATGTGTGTTTTTAATAGTAGCCATTCTATTGAGCGTGAGGTAGTATCTTATCGTGATTTTGACTTGCATTTCCCTAATTATTAGTGATTTTGAGCACTTTCATGTACTTATTTTTATCTTTCCCCCCCTCTATACTCCACCAACTAAATAAAAGCATTATAATTTCCTTACATACAAATATAAGACTCAGATGCACTGCAATGCTCTCAAACAATATAAGAAGCCTCCATGATGGTTGGCTATTGCTAAAGCCAGAGAATCTGACCCAGGCCTTCCCAAGTTCTCACAAATCACTGAGACTCACCTGTCTGTTGGGAAAGAGCCTGAACAAAGAGCAAGTGCTTCTTCCATCGGATCATCCATGCTGTTCTCCTTCTCCTGTTTATTTAACTCTGATGGAGCCAGAGCATCTACATCACAACAAAGAAAAAGATCTGTCACCAAGGAATGACAGCTTTATCCTCTTTTCTCAGCCATCTGAGACATGCCTGCTCAATACAGTTCTAAAGTACGCTTGCCAAAAAACACTCACTAGCTATTCATTCATTCAGCAAATCCTTATTTAGTGCTTACCATGTGCCAGGCACCAGGGATACAATAGTGAACAAAACAAAGATCCCAACTTCCACAGAGCTTACATTTTAGCAGGGGTGTCAGGGGGAAGAGAAAGTGTGCAGGTAAGAACAACAAATTAACATTTATATTAAATTTATTACACACCAGACACTTTTCTAAGCTTTGCACAAATATTAAGAGCAATCTTAAGATGACACTTTACCACCATAAGAAAGTAAGGGCTCTAAATGTCAGGGAGCTAAGCTGTGAATAAAAGAACCCATCACATGGTTTTCTGCAAACTTTTCACCGAAGAGTAAGGGGCTTCTTTTCAAGGATACTGGTGTAAGGTAGTTGGCTGTGGCAAACCTGATGCACTTTGTTGGATATTTACCCTGAGAGGCGAATTTTCCTGAACAAAGATTCAGAAGTTCTTCCATGTTCTCTTTCTTGTCACTCTTCCCGGGCAGAGCCTTCTCCGTCTGAGAAGTGAATTTTCCAGTGCACAAATCCAGCAGCTCATCCATGTTAGCATCCATGGCATTCTCATCCATATTGGCCAATGGTAATCGAGGTTTCAAAGCTTGGTACTGATTCCTGTGGTTTCTAACATTTAGGAACCTAAAAGCACAATAAAGAGTGTAAGAAACGCTCTAGGGAGAAAAACAAAGCAGTGAGAGAAAAAGCCAACTCATCTCCAATACCAAAGTTAGAAGCTGAATCCCAAACCAGAAGACAAAAGATTTAACCTTCAGCCTTGTTGACAGTCTAAAGAGGGGAAAGTTTTACGGACGAATAAATGCTATTCAGAAGGTAAAGGGTAAAGGGATAATTTTGGCTTCAGATGTTGCTAGAGTAGGGCTTGGAGTTATGGCCATGGAATGCACCACAAGCCGGTCAATTTTCAATCCCACCCAACAATCATAACATAGTAGAATGGATACATGAAATTTTGATGCCTTTACAAGAGCTATGCATTTCAAATGAGGCAGAGATTGAAGGATGCCAGCAAGGGCTATTTACATTTCACTTTCTGGAAAGACTTTGTTCAAGCTTGCAGAATGTAATACTAATGGTCTGTACATCTTCTCTTTCTCAGATGAGAAAGCACAGATGGAGTGACAGAAGCTCACTTTATTTTTAAACAAAATTAAGCAGTGCCCAGCGCCTTCCCACCCACAAAAACATAAAACTACCAACCCATCTGCATCCAACAGTTGGCTCTGCGTGTCATCTTCTAAAGAGAACTGGAAATCTCCTGCTCCTAGGAAAAGTGTCTTAGGCTCTGGGGAGGCGTTATATAGATCCTGGGAATCCTCTATGGGAAGTGAAGGCTCAGACAGCTTTTCTGAACTCTGGCACCAAAATAAAACCAAACAAAAACATAACATTTTACAAATATCATTCACTGTCATGACAACAACAGAAGTTGCTATTTGCAATATTTAATCTGTTCTCAGGCAACTGTAATTGAGGAGGACAATGAATAGCCAAGAGAAGCATAAAGAAAAATATCTCCAAGAAAGTAAAAACACTGGATGAAGCTTGTTTTTAATACACCGGGTGGACTTTTAAACTGAACACACATAATGGGAGTTGATTGGCTCAGATACATTTTCCTTAGCATTGTGGGAAGCAAAAGCGGGAGATCAGAAAACCATTACCATCTTACCTTAGAAGCTGAGCTGATCAAACTGGCTCGAAATAGCCCAGGGGAAGGAGATCTAAATCCTGCTGCTAAAGGGGTAAAACTAGTCCCAAGGCCTGTTTGTCTGTTGCAAGGCTGATAGGATGGAATTGTGGAGCCAATCAATTCAAAGCTGCTATTGTGACTGCTCTCCTTTGTTAGCAATGAGCATGAATCCTCCTCATCTAAAGAAAGAGAAGACACTTTTAGGTGTGTGATTCCAGAAATAAAGTGGGTTTGTTTAGGAAAAATAATCGAGGATGAAACTGTCAGGTAACATTCACAAGCAAGTCTCTCAGATATGTTCCCAAATATTAAGTTAATCAAGGCTTATTCCTCTGAGCTAAGTAACAACTGAAAGTTCTGTCTGTCATTCTACCTAATGCCTCTGATCAGTCTCTCCATTATCCAATCACTTACACATCTCCCTCTGATCTATATGGAAATGTTTCATGGTTCACACAATCAATACACTTAACTACAGACCTATTAGATGTCCACGGTCAACTATAAAGAAATTGCATATAAGTTTTATAAAACCAGACCAAAAAAAAAAATTCTAATTCATAAACTGCTTTCACTGCCACATGTAAGACTGGGAAAATTCCACTAGAGTTCAAAAAAATGGAACCTTATGGAATCATAGTCCTTAAATATAAAAAATGAAAGATCAAACAGATCTGTGAAAGAGTCACTACTTACCCAGTTTGGTAGGCCTTTTGCTTGAGTTTTCATCTGTTTCTGATTTTTCTTCACTAGGAAAGAAATTACAAAACAAGAAAGTAAACTGAGTATCTGTTCCTGTTTCTTACTAAAGAGGCAAATCCAAGGGAATCTTATCTTTCTTTAGAGAGAATTACTTACTCCATCTTGGAAGAGTTGTCTTTAAATAGGAGAACGGTAGAATCTGATGAGAGAGGCTTAAGAACCGATGGAAGGCCAACTGACTTGCCAATTTCACTACTGTCATCATTGCTTTCCTTGTCCATTTCTTTCTCACCTTTGGTTTCTATTTCTTCATTACCGAGAAGGAATTCTGCCATCTTTAACAATCACATCACCCCAAAACAAAATAATACGTGTCAAAAAAATTTTAAAGCAAACACACTGTTGACCTAAAATATAGCTGCTTGGTCACATTTTATACTGAAAAGGTAAACCTGAAAGAAATTTGGCCCCACCATTATCAATAATATAATTCTCCCTTACACTTTTAGAGTTCTTTTATACTTATTTTACCTTTTATCCTCCCAAAATTGCTTTAAAATTATCAAAGAAAACTGGAATTAACATTTTATTGAGGCAATGAGAGGTTAAATGATTAGCCTGAGAGTGCAGGATGACTTACTGACCTCAAAACAACTATAGACTGTGACATGCTACCCAGGTCAGCCATTGCTTCCTTCTTTCTCTCTCCAGGCTAACTACTAACCAGCTCTTTCAAGTGATTCCAGTGTTCAAACAAGAACACTTTTCATTTTTCTAATACAAAAAATCGTGTCATCATCTATGTTCCCTCAGTAGAATACCATGGAACAAGGGTAAGAGACCCTTCTACAAATACCCTTCTCAACCAAGAATGCAATCAATACAGGAAGGTCTTGGCCTGAGAATTGATTCCAGGCCTCAGCATGGCCAAGGCTAAAACTGCTTTTTATTCTGAACAAAGAAACCTAAATAAACAAAGATAAAAGTCCTTATTCACTCAAAGCCATTTCATACCAGCATTGTGTTACATAATATAAACTAACACATAATATAAACTAAGCCATGGCTCTGAGACCTGTAGGTATTCAATGGTGCCAACTAAACTGAATACATTAAGACTGAGGTACACACGAACTAGCTGCTTTCATGTCTGCCCCCTAACATCTTTATACAATTGAATATGCTTATTTAATCATTCAAATCGAATTCTTTCCTTTTCCTTATTCATCACGATCAAGTAACAAAATTACATAATTGCCAGAAACCTCATAACTGCCTTCTTCCTCCTCTTCCTCTAACTTTTCTTCTTCCTCCCCTTCTCCATCTTCCTCAGACTCATCCGTCATCTCCTCCTCCTCCTCCTCCTCCTCTTCTTCAAATCCATCTTCATTATCTAATTTAAACAATGCCTGGCGCTTTTGGCGCTCCTCGGACCTTCGGAGTTTCATTGCTTCTTGCAATTTAGCTTTCAGCACCTGAAGCTTTTCACCTGAATAGAAACATGAAGGTATGCGTTAGACATAATGACTGACTCCACACATCAATAATGGAAGTGTGCATTTTAGGCAATTCCAGAAGTGTTCTAGTCACATCCCTAAAGAGCAGAGATCTTAGCACTCTAGGCTTTTGTTCTTTTAACAAGTGAGGACTATTATGAAGTCAAGTGTAAAAGAGAACTTCCAGAATTAAGTTCCATACTCTGGGATAATATACTATGCAGAGATTATAATTAAAAAGGCAAAAAAATGGAGGAGGAGTGGGACTTCAATAGTCTCTGGCTCAGAAGCCATGAAAAAAAAGTTGATAAAATGATCTATTTTGAAGAAAAAGAGAAACAATTCAGGAGTAAAATGAGCATAGGATATGGACTGGGAGTTCACAGAAAGTGAGTATATTGGTTTTTTGTTTGTTTGTTTGTTTTAAATATGTTTTTATTGATTTTTTTACAGAGAGAAAGGGAGAGGGAGAGAGAGTTAGAAACATCAATTAGAGAGAAACATTAATCAGCTGCCTCCTGCACACCCTCCACTGGGGATGTACCTGAAATCAAGGTATATGCCCTTGACCAGAATTGAATCTGGGACCCTCACTGAGCCAAACCAGTTAGGGCTATATTGTTAATAAATAGTTAAAAATAATATTTAATTTCACTTCTAGTTAAAGAGCTACAAATCAAAATAAAGAGATACAATTTTTTATATATTTAGCAAAACTTAGGTTTGATAATATGAATTAACAGGAGGAAACAGAAACTTTTATATTATCCAGAGTATAAATTGAGACAACTATTTTGAAGAGCATTGAAATGATATACATCAGAATTTGATTTCACTGTAAGAAATTTTGCATCCAGATATACCAATATATATATCTCATACTAGGAAGTACATTATATAAAATACCAAAAACTGGAACAAACAATATGTCCATTAATAAGAGTATGGTTAAATAAATCATCAAATCATGTTATACTCATACAATGAAATTTTATGCAGCTGTTAAAAAAACAACAACCTTCAAAAGCAACAAAATGTATATCTGAACTCAGGGGGTTTGGATTAGGCTACTGGTTCTAGTACTTGAGAAGGTTGTGTAAATGCTTTGTATATCATTTCCTCATATATAAAATACTATTTTCTATAAAGCTCCTAGAGCAATGCCTGGCACAGAATATTCAAATTCTGTCTATCTCTGACTCTCTGTCTCTCTCATACACACACACACATACACACACACACAGTGATATATACATATAAATTTTCCTAGGACAAACAAAAAATTGTTAACATTTGCCTTTAGGAAGACTAATTTTTCCTTATATCTTTTTCTCAGTGTTTTAAATATTTTCTATGTGACCTATTACTCATATTTCAAAGTTGGAGTGGGAACAACATACCTGTCCCTAACATACTGAAAACAAAAAAGCAGATTACAAAGCAGAATGAATGGTGTTATCACATTATTGTGTGTTTTTTTTAAAAAAACAACAACAAACATGTAAAGAGTTTAAAAGGATAGACACACAGAGGACTATAGAACTTTTGTTTATTATTTTCATGCATTTTCTACAATAGACATTTAGTTTTTTTTTAAATAAGACAAAGGAATAAAGTCATCTTACTCACTCCACATCTCTACACATGACAGCCAGGTACTGCTATCAACTCTCCCAAGTCTCAAAAAAAAAAAAAAGGTTCTACACTTTTTAAAAAAATTATTGATTTTCAACAGACAGAAAGAGAAATATCGATTGGTTGTTTGACTGATTTTTGTATGTGTCCTAACTGGAGACTGGACCCACAACCTTGGGGTTTGGGGATGAACCAATTGAGCTCCTCGGCCAGGGCCTGGAACTTTTCACTACCGTTTCTTCAGTGGCATTAAGACTCGTCAGAGTACAAGGCACAAATTAAAAAAAAAAGGTCAACTCAAATACCTGGTTTTGTGTGGCTTACTCCATCCAGCTTCTCAGCTGCCAAAGTCACAGGTACCACATCAGCCTTCAGCTCTTCCTTACCATCAGTGCCCACCTCTTTCACGACGATGCTCACATTTACCTTCTGAGCAGCCCTGGGTGTGGCTGCGGGATTAGCATGCTTCCAGAAACGCTGCTTCAAGGCTTCCAGTTCTAAACACAAGTGCCAACCAGTATGTCAGTTTGCCATGCTCAAACTCTTTCCTTTATGATTTCAGTTAGAAATTATAAGCTAAGTTTTTTAAGAAATATAGTTGTAAGAAAAAAACACACAATGCAGAAACACCAAATATCCTTTGATACTAACACCACTATGAATTCATATAACTTAACCCAAACTAATGGACTGCTGCAATGCTTTCTCAACATACTAAAAAGTCATTTAGGGTGACTAAGAAATTTACAAATTAACTTTCTAAATATGTGTAATTTTTTTTTTAAAGTACAAACTGATCAGAAAAAAATGACATTATTCTTGATTATTCAAGGGCTCCTTTAAAAAAATTCCCTATTTGGAACATTTCACTATTTATTGAAAAATCTTACTAGAAATGGGCAAGGTCAATTAAAAAATAGGAAAAAAAAGAAAATGACAATCCAATCAGTGATGTATTATAACTCAGCAGCAGGATGGCAAGGTTTTTTGGTGAAACTGTTATGCTAGCTTAGTCAGTATAATCAGAAAGGAAATTCTCCTTCAGGCTGCCCCTGAACCATACCCAACTTGTAAACAAGACAATTAATAAAGAATCAACACAGTAGGTACTCAAAATTAAGTTTCTTCCCTTTCCTGTCTCTCAGCCCAGGACTGCTTAGGTAACTTCTGGTTCCATACAACAAAATTTAGCAGTGTCTATTATAGCAAGTACTCAAAAAATGTTTGTTTTCATTCTGGCCAGTTTTCTCAGTGGTTAGAGTGTCAGCCTGAGAACCGAAGGGTCTCAGGTTCAATTCCCAGACAAGGGCAAATATCTCAATTGCAGATTCCATAGCTCCAGTAGGGACACATGCAGGAGGCAACTAATCAATGTATCTCTCACATCGATGTTTCTTTCTTCCTCTCCATCCTCTCTCCCTTCTACTCTTTCTAGAAATCAATGGAAAAAATAACCTCTGGTGAAGATTTTAAAAAAAAACCTCCAAAAGGATTTGTTCTCTCTCTTAGTCTGAAACTGTTTAGATAATTTCTAGTCTAACAGAATAAAACTTTCACCATGACATCCTGGTTCATAGGTTGACCCTCAATCACTGAACCACACCGGCTAGGCTGTTATACAACTCTTCCCTCCCACCTTCTGTTCTGGTCAAACGGACTTATACAACTTCTCAATTTGTACCACTCTTTCTGTTCCTTCCAAGAATGTCCTCTCCACTTCCACAAAACCCATCTACTCAATTAACAAAGACTCATTGAGCATATTTTACACACCAAATACTGTGAATAACATAGTACCTGTCAACCATAAACTGTTTAGTGAATCTTGAGGTATTAATTTCACTAATAACACTAGTAAAAGTAGCAGCCGCTAGTTGAGTGCTTCTTTACGTTATCTAATTGTATTCGCGATTTTAACAAATCCTCTCGGTAGCCTTGTGAAACAAGAGTGCTATTTTTTCAATTTTTGTTTTTAAAAGATGGCTTAGAAAGGCCAAAGAGCATACTCAAGGTTAAACAGTAAGTAGTAAACTCTGGTCTTGCTATAAAGCCTAAGTTCTTAGTTGTCATGCTACACTGCTTTAATGCAGAGGCCACACCAAATTCTACCTGAGTCAGGAAGTTTACCTAATGTGGTAATAACACTTGAGTTCTCTTTGAAAGATCATGCATCATTCAATAAATATGAATGCCTACTATGGGTCATCCCTGTGGAAGCACTGAGTTTAGAGTAAGGAACGAGCCAGAAGAGCCTACTCAAAGTAGGGGAAGGCAGTGAACAAGAAATTACACCCACCTATTCTTCAAGCCTTTCTTTTAACCACCTATTGGAAGAAACTTATCCCTCCTCTGAATTCCAAAAAGCACTTTATTTTCTATTTAATTTATTGTTATTATGTTTTTATTGATTTTTGAGAGAGGAAAAAACACTGATGTGAGAGAGAGCTGGCTTCCTGTACATATCCCAACTGGGGTTCAAACCTACAACCTACTATGTGTCCTGACCAAGAATCGAACTCGAAACCTTGGTTGGATGACACTCCAACCAACTAAGTTACCCAGCCAGGGCCCAATGCACTTTATTCTAAAGTTTTTCCAGCAAAGAAATAAATTTTAAACTTTTTCCCCCTTTTTCCACATTATTTAATGTTTTCCATAAACAGTGTAGAATAAATGTCAGATTTCCCTTGGTATGTTCTACAGCATCTTGCATGTAGTGGATAGTTTAGTATTTGCCGAGTAGAATAAAAAAAAATTAAAAAAAAAAGAAGCAGCAGCAAAGAAATTCAGTTTTGCAATTTCGTGAACCAAAATATTTTTCTTTAATTGTGAAAAACTGAATAGTAATGCTTTTATGAATGTCATATCATAACACAATAGCAATGTACCTCTTTTATATATTAACCTATGAACAGGCTTCAATTTTAAACAAGGTTTAGAATATTCTGATACACTGCCAAATCTATCTAAATGGGATTCTACGGGCATACAGTACAGGCATACCTCAGAGATATTGCAGGTTCGGTTCCAGACCACAACAATAAAGCAAGTATTACAATAAAGCAAGTCATAATCATTTTGCTGGTGGAGGGTCCTGCTTTCAATTTGTAAACAAAAACAAAAACAAAACAAAAACACAGCAATATCTGTGAAGTGCAATAGGTGAAGCACAATAAAACAGGATGTGCCTGTACATCTGTAGAATAAGATCATGTGTGGTTATTGGCTTCTCCTGGGTTCCCTGTCCTCCCAAGCGGCATGTAATGGACTGCTGCCTGAATAAGTCACTCTGGAGAGGCCCCCCCACAACTCAAAGGATTACCTCTGTTGGGTTCAGGTTCTTCAAGTACCACAAAGGAATCTTCATCAGCACCCAGCCGAGGTTTAACGAAAACATCTACTCCCAGTTGCTTAAGTCTATCCAGCGTGAACCTCCTCGCTTTCTCAGGTGGCACGACTGCCGCTGATTGGGTTTGCTGCCTGGGCTCTTCCACCTTCTCATCTGTTTCTTCTGTTTTTTGCAGGCCTTCTCCCCCCAGGGCGTCAGGCTCAAGTGCCACACGCTCTTCAGTCTGAGACTCGTCATTGACCTTGTTCCCAAGGAAGCTGGATTCCTGCTGTGCCACTGAGCTGTCCCCAGGAGAAGGTCTAGTATCCCTCTGCTCCCGTTTCTCCTGAATTTCTGGCTCTTCACTTACCATCAGATCTTTATTGCAAGACTCATCGGATCCAGTAGTCATCTGGAGTTCCTTTGAAACTGCAGGGAGTGCATTAGCTTCCATTTCATATCCTGCACCTGTTGCTGGCTCAGAATTTTTGGTATGATGGTCATTGCTCATCTCAGTTTTGTTTGCAGGGTCTGTGACTTCTTTGTGATGGCTTGACTGATACTTAGATGACCTAGGGAAGGGGAAATAAGCTGGAGTTGTAAGCTATCCTAAATGAGAAACATTCTCATCATTTAGCAGAGAATGAACAAGTTAAATCAGTAGGAAGGGTGTAAGGAATCTGAACTTTTTGTTTGCTACAAAATGGAATGTTTATGAAAATTATAATCAAAGGAAAGAGGGTTCTTACTTTAGTAGGGCCATGGCATTTCCCTGCCAAATGGGCCGGGGTTTACGTTTGTAGAAATCATGAATGGTTTTATTCTCAGGCATATGATACGGAAGATTAAGTGCAGACTCTACAAAATGAAACAAAACAAGCAAATCTATATACTGTACATTCAGAAATGTCGCTTTATATTCAGTTAACTAAACAGTAAGCCAAAGCCATCACCAGAAATAGAAAACAATCCTGGCTTTAATAAAGACAGGATTTAAGTACAAAAGAAATCCCTGAAGACCAGTGGCTTTAAAAAAAAAAACTTAATTTTTTATTGTTGACAGTATTACAGATGTCTCCCAACAACCCCCTCCTTAGCTTCCCTCTTCCTAGTCCCTGCCCCACCCCAGGCCTTCACCACACTATTGTCTGTGTCCATTGGTTATGCATATAAGCTCTTTGGTTAATCTCTTCCCATCTCCCCTCTACAGGGAAAACACCCTCCTCCCCCCCCCCACACACACACCCTCGCCCACCAAGATAGACCAGTGCTTTTAACCTAGTTGGAAAACAAACTGGTCCAGAAAGTTCTTAAAAATACAGATTCTTGGACCCCATTTCAAGCCTATTGAATGAGACTTTCTGTGGAGGCTAAGAATTTACATATTTGTCAAGCTCCCAAAGGGATCCTGATGCAGCTGGTCCATAGAAAACCATGAAAAACAAAAAACCTCCTGGGAGCATTTAAGATCTTCCTTTCCAGCATGTCATCAATTTGGCTCAAATGAACTGAAATAAACTCATAAAACTTCTTAATAAAAAGAACAAAAACAAAAAAGACTTTCTTCTTTACCACGACTATAGTTCTGAAAATTGTTTGTAGTCATGTCCCAGGGGATTCAGAACAATAGTCATCCACCAAGATCCATTCTAAACTTGATATTATAACCCAATTCATATTAGGAGGAGTGTTAAACAAGCAAAAATCCCCATCTAAATTGAGCTTACAAAGAAATATTGTGATTTGCCTCAAAGTTTACTGTACTGATTTGAATTACCTCGAATAAGGCGCTGAGTCTCACTGTGTAGTTTTTTTAATGCTTCCTTACTTAACTTGGCTGCCTTCCTTTCCTTAAAGAAAACAAAAAGTGAGAATACATTAATGTTACACGTAGACATTTGGAAAGAGAGTTTGCTCTTTCCAAGAAAAGAGGACAAGAGAGGTAATAGTAAGCACAAATAAGCTCAATACAATATAAATCCAAGGAGTGCATTCATTTGCAAGTCACAAAGAATTAATTCAATCCAATCCATATTTGCGTCCCTCCCATGTACAAAGCATTATCTTGGGTACCAGGAAAACATGATAAACATGATAAAATATTATCCCTGAGAAATTCCAATCTCCTGGGGAAAGAGACCACATGATAACTATACAGTACGGAGCTCTAACTCACCTTCCTGGTGCCTTTTGATGACTCACTTTCTTCTTCATATGAAGAAATGCCACTCTCCAAAGATAGTTGCTTTTTCTAAAAGAGATGACAAGTTAAATAATATGGACAAAAATGAACTTGAAATAAGCTTACTCAAAGATTGCTTTTGTGCTCTAACATTTCATCATGCTACATTAGTAATATGTCAATAATTATCAAATAGAAAAATTTAAACGCAGCACGCTATAATGCCTAGAAAACAAATTAGATATCTCAAATGGAGTTTGGGCTCTCATTTCTTATACTTCTGTATTACAACTTCCCCTAAGGAGAGACAATGACTTCCAGGCACCTAAAGATAATCTTAGAAAAAACAATTATGCTCCCAATCACTCAGGATAACAATGCTTTTGACATCTCCTTTATACCTTTCCTGAAACCCTATTGGTTCATTTCTTAGAAGCCACACAGTTATAAAATTTACATCTCTGTCCCCTTATTTCTCTGCTTCTTACACAACATAAAATATCTATTCTCTCCCCCCTCAATATTTCAATGAGGGCAATCAAAATACTAGTTTCCAAACAAGTTAGCATGTCTATCGCTTTTTAAAAAAAACTAAGGTTCCAAAAGTAAGTAAGAAAATAATGCAAAACTTAGAAGCAATAGGGTAGCCCCTACTGCGATAATCTTTTACTTGCCTTGTGTTTCTTTACTTTGTTTTTCACAGCTGCCCTTATGGATTCTAGCGACTCTTCATCTTCTAATGCAGAGTTATGTTCCTCCTCCAACCCAGTTTCAAAAAGGTCTTCATCCACAAGAAGACAGCCACTATCAGTAAATGGCTGTCTCACATCTTCTTCCTGGATAATGCATAAAGAAAAAGCAAAACCCAATCATTTCAGAATCCAATTTCACAACACAAGGCGATCTGGATCAGGCCAGAAAAAGTCCAGGTTTCAGACAAATACATGGCATTCTAGAACATCCTCACCATTTCCTAACACATACGTAATCATCCCTTGAAGTCCAGGCTGTGATTTTATGCAAACTGTCTAAAACTAACTTACAAAACAGTAAGTATTTTTGAAAAGTCAATTTAATACTTATTAAGCAACTAGTATATAAAACTTGAGGATGGTGTTTTCTAGTTAGCAACATTTCTGACTGATAAATGCATGAAAAATCCTTTGTTGAAAATTAACTTTCAGAGATCAGAAACCTATATATTTGGAAGTGTCCTTCACGTATATGAATTGGAAAATGACACCAAGTTTTAAATCACATACCTTGTTTACCCACAATGCAAAAACAATCAATTCAAAGCTGTATTCTGAATGCAGAAAAACCTCAAGAACTAAAAACAATCCTTTCCAAACTGTTAATCTGCATTAGAAATAGCAAATTGTTCTTTAAAATGTACCTAATTTGCCTGGCTGGTGTGGCTCAGTGGCTGAGCAATGACCCATGAACCAGGTGTCACGGTTCGATTTCCAGTCAGGGTACATACTCAGGTTGCAGGCTAGATCCTCAGTGTGTGGTGTACAGGAGGCAGGCAGTCAATGATTCTCTCTTATTGTTGATGTTTCTATACATATATTTTTGTTGATTTCAGAGAGAGGAAGGGAGAGGAGGGAGAAATATCAACAATGGAAGAGAATCATTGATTGGCTGCCTCTTGCACACCCCCTGCTGGGGATCGAGCCCACAACAGGCATGTGCCCTTGACTGAAATCGAACACGGGATCCTTTAGTCCACAGGCTGACACTCTATCCACAGAGCCAAACCAATTAGGGCAATAAAATATATATATATATGTATATATATATATTTATATTTTAAATGTACCTCATTTTTTGTTTCCTTTTTTTTTAGCTGCCTAATTTTTTCCATCTTTCTCTCCTCTTTCTCTAGTCTTCTCTTTGATTTTACTCTTGCTTTCCCTTTAGTTCCTTCTTTATCACGTATGGGTTTTTTGGAAATCTTTCTACTAGCTGTAAAGTCCACAGAGTTTTCAGATTGACGACCCAGCTCTAAGGAAGATGTCACTTGGGTTTCAAGATTTTCCTGGTACAAAGACTCTTCCTCCTCCATGTCACTTTCATCACTGTCTGCCAGAGTTTTGTGCATCCTTCTGGCTTTCCTATTTTTTCCGGCATATAAGTTCTCTTTGTTTTCCTCTTCGACAACATCATAGGTAGCTTTCTCTGGAGAGGCATTTGGTTCTTCTCTTTCCGAATCACTGTCTTGTAGCACCTTCCTGCTTTTCAATTTCTTATTCACAAATATCTCTTCATCAGAATCTGAAGGAAACACAAAATTTTGTTAGCAGTCTGCTGTCCTTTGGCCTTTCTCCTAGATCCACTAAACCTATCCAATCATCCAAAAATATATCCAATTATCTAAGTGATGTATCACCTTGTAAAATTATGTAACTACCCCTAAGAAGTGACTGTAGCAAAGCAAATCTAAAAGTACATTTGGAAAACATTTTCACTAGAAAAATGTCTCACTGGAAAATGTAACTATTGTATATATCTTTACAACAGGAAAAGTTGTTCTAATCATTCTGGAAGGTGTTACAAATTTTTTATTATGGGATGAATGCATTCAACCTGGCAATGTGGTAGCTTCTTGACATTTTATATATTCAGTCATATAACAGAAATTATTATTCTCAAAAGAGTACAACACAACTATTTTGCTTTTATAATAAAAAAATGATAAAGTTGGGCATAACCTAATAAATCAAGAGAATAATAAAAATTAATCCAACCCATTTACAAATCCAAGCCCGCACATTCTATTTCTAAAAATAAAAGTACTATTACAAACCTCCTTCACTCAAGGGTCCAATTGTTTCACAGCTGCCCTGTCCACTGTCAAAAGGACTATCTGCTTCTTCTTGTGAAATGAGTTTTAAATCATTGACTTCTAGATGAACCTAAATCAATGAGAATATATTTTGCATTAACCATCGGGTTACAAAAAGCTCTAAGTACATTATGATACATATAGAATTATGGGATCATCAGGCTGAAAAAAGGGGGGGAGGAACCCACCACAATTCAAGGGTTCAATGAAGAGATGACAACCCTACCCATTTGGTAAAGTGGATAGGATGTTGGTGTGTACATTGAAGGGCCTCAGGTTCAATTCCGGTCACAGGCTCATACTTGGGTTGCAGGCTTGATCCCACCCTGGTTGGACATGTGCAGGAGCAACCAATGGATATCTCTCTCTGTGTGTCTCTCCCTCCCTTCCACTTTCTCTAAAAATCAATGGAAAAAAACATCTTCAGGTAAGGATTGAGAGAGAGAGAGAGAGAGAGAGAGAGAGAGGGAGAGAGAGAGAGAGATGACATTAAGAATTACCGGACATACCCTAGCTAGTTTGGCACAATGAGTAGAGTGCCGGCCTATGGACTTGAAGGGTCCCGGGTTCAATTATGGTCAAGGCACATGCCCAGGTTGCAGGCTTGAATCCCCAATAGGGAGCGTGCAGGAGACAGCCGATCAATGATTCTCTCTCATCATTGATGTTTCTTTTCTTTTTTAAAAAAAAATATATTTTATTGATTTTGTACAGAGAGGAAGGGAGAGAGATAGAGAGTTAGAAACATCGATGAGAGAGAGTAATCAATCAGCTGCCTCTTGCACACCCCCTACTGGGGATATGCCCACAACCAAGGCACATGCCCTTGTCCGGAACTGAACCTGGGACCCTTCAGTCCCCAAGCCGACGCTCTATCCATTGAGCCAAACTGGTCCCGACTCATCATTGATGTTTCTATCTCTCCCTCTCTCTTCCTCTCTGAAATCAATAAACATATATATTTTTATAAAGAATTACTGGACCAAAAACCAAAAGAAAAATCATTGTTCATCTTTAAAGGATTCTATAGACCCAAATCTTTTTTTTAATCCTCATCCAAGGATATGTTTGTTTGCTTTTTATTTTAGAGAAGAAGGGAGAGAAAACACTGATGTGAAAAACATCAATTGGTTATCTCTCATACATGCCCCAACAGGGGATCAAACCTGCAACCTAAGTATACTAGTATGCTCTGACCGGGAACTGAACCCACAACCTTTCAGTGTATGGAACCATACTCCAATCAACTGAGCCACACCATCCAGGGCAAAACCAATTCTTTATATTGAATACAGTAGATCCCCCTATCAACAGTTTTACTTTTCCATAATTTGTTACCCATGGTCAAACGAGGTCAGAAAATATTAAATGGAAAATTCCAAAAATAAACAATTCATAAGTTTTAAATTGCATATCATTCTGAGTAGCATGATGGAATCTTGCACCACCCCACTTTGTCCCACTCAGGACATGAATCATCCTTTGTCCAGCATATCTCTGCTGAATACAATCCATTTTTGCTAGTAGACACTTAGTAGCCACCTCAGTTATCAGATCTACTGTCACGGTACCACAGTACTTGTGTTCAAATAACCCTTAACCTATATAATAAAGAGGTAATATGCAAATTGACCCTCACACCTCACAAGATGGCCACCCTATGTCATCACAAGATGGCTGTCACAAGATAGCCGGCAGGGGAAGGCAGTTGGGGGAACCAACCCTGCAGGGGAGGACCGTTGGGGGCGATCAGGCTGGCAGGGGAGAGGTTAGGGGCAATCAGGTAGACGAATGATTAGGGGCCAGCAGTCCTGGATCGTGAGAGGGATATCTAACTGCTGGTATAAGCCTGCAGGGATCCTCCAAGGTTGGGCTGAGGGACAACCCCCCCCCCCCCAGTGCACGAATTTCATGCACTGGGCCTCTAGTTTACTTAATAATTCACCGGAGTGGTGACGCTGACAATTCAGATATGCCAAAGAGGAGCCATAAAGTGCTTTCTTTAAGGGGGAGTGCCAGAGGCAGCAAATCAATTATTCTCTCTGAAATCAATAAAATTTTTTTTTTAAAGAGATGCAATCCAGGTGTGGGACTCATTATAAGGCCAACTATGTGGTTTCTTTTTTGTCTTGTTTTTTAATATATTATATTGATTTTTTACAGAGAGGAAGGGAGAGTAATAGAGTTAGAAACAATGATAAGTCGCCTTCTGCACACCTCCTACTGGGGATGTGCCCGCAACCAAGGTATATGCCCTTGACTGGAATCAAACCTGGGACCTTTCTCTCCACATGCCAACGTTCTAGGTCAAACCGGTTTAGGGCTCCAACAGCTATTAAATTGATTTCAATGCTTGGTATAATTACTAAATAGCTAAAAAGAACATCAACAAGGAGATTCATGTATTTGCTGATGGTCCTTCCAACAATACAAAACAGTTAAGTCTCTTTGCTCTGTGGATCAGAAAACTGCATATAGGCAGCCACACAACTCAATACAAGATATTGTTAGTCATTTTATTCTAGGCAGTTTGCAGCAGTATCAGCAAGGGTGAGGTGAATGATGCTGAGGAGTGCAAGTTCAGGGTCAGATACTGTCTTTAAACGTTTGTTATTTTACTCAATATCAAGTCATGGGATTTTTTGGTATTAACTTTTTTTTTTAATGTTATCATCTTGATTACTGAGTTTTCTGGCGTCTCCTTATATTTTGCTCCCAAGGTGAGTACCTCACCCTACTCCCGCCCCAGGAAAGAACACAGAACTGTAAACAGTAGTTCCTGTGCCCAAATCCGCCCGGAGCCGAGTACAGCCCCTTCCCGATGACCGCGAAGGCCCCTTCCAGACACAATTACGAACTCCCGCCGTCCGTTTACAGAGTCCTGCCCCGCCTCCCAGGGCCCGGTTCGGCTCGGGCCTTCCTCTTTCCGGACGCGGTAAGAGGAAAAGCACCCACGGCAGGAAACGCGCCAAAGGGGAGGGAAGGCGGGACGGACTGAGGAGGAGCTGGGTGGCCGGCTGCGCGCCACAAAGACCCGAAGCAACACGGCCCACTGGACGGAGGCGCGGAAACCCTGACGTGGGGACTGGACCGCGAGACGGTGGGCCAGGGGTGGGGGTGTTTTCCCTCAGGGACTGCGAGGCCGGGCCGGGCCGCCCGGTGCACGCCGGGAACTGTAGTTCTCCCAGCCTCCGCGACCCATTCCACCGTACTCGACCCTCGACCCCCGCACCCCTTCAGCGCCGACCTCCGCAATCGCGATGGAGACATTTGCATGAACTCACCTCGGAAGGCACTTCGCCCTCCGTCATGACTTCGGATCTCCAGCGCTTTGTTTGGGACGAAACCGGTCCCCGGCTCCCTCAGCCGCGGCGCAGCTGCTCCCGCCGGATTCAACCCGGCAGCGACTTGGGAGCTTTCGCGCCTACCCGGCGTGGAGGTACCGCCCTTAACGATTTGCACCAATCCGGACGCGGCTTTCTACGTGAGGCCACGCCCCCATTCCGTTCTGCCAATCACGAAGCGCCCTCGGCCAGTCCCACAGATGTAAAGGTTGGCGGGTCGCGGCTCCTCAAGTCAAGTGAACCTGGAGGAGGCTGAAGGTGTTCTGGCTACTGGGGTGTAGAGCAAGATGGTACCGTTCGAGTGGTGGACTTTGGCCTTTGACTTTGCCGATAGTTTCCATCAAGCAGCGATTTGAGGAGTAAGTTCCTGCTCCAGGTAAAAAGTGGGGAGAAATGCCGGAACCGGTTTGGCTCAGTGGTAGGGCGTCGGTTTGCGGACTGAAAGGTCCCAGGTTCGATTCCAGTCAAGGGCATGTACATTGGTTGTGGGCACATCCCCGGTAGGGAGTGTGCAAGAGGTGCATCGACGTTTCTAACTCTCCCTTCCTCTCTATAAAAAAAATCAATAAAAAAATATATATTTTTTAAAAAGTGGGGAGAAAATCTGTGGACACCAGAGGGGCATCCCTAACCTGTACTAGAGTCCAGTGCGCATGAGTGTTTTCTCCAGGGACCACCCTACCTGCTCCTTCTTGTATATGGCACTCACACCGGTGAACATCTAAAGAGAAAAATTTGGGGGGGGGGGCTGCTCAGATACTAAGGAATAAACTTGGGTAACTTTTATAATTCTACTTAAGATTAATTCAAGGATGCAGAAAAGACCCATTCATCCCACTTCTAGGCTCTTTGGATAAGGCAGGGGGGGCAGGGGAAATTAGAGAAGTATGGAATCAGACCAATCCCAGACAATTCTAACCTCTTGTCACTGTTCTGGTTACTATCTTTTAGCCACTCCAGATCCATTCTCTGTCGTTCCTTATCCTGCTGTATCCGGGCGAGGCTGGCTTTTCCTCCACTGCATTCCTGAGCACCTTGGCCCTCTGATTTCAGGTGGAGTCAAGCTACTGGAAGGTACTTTACAAGATTACTGTAAGGAGGAGATCAGAGAAAGTTAGTTTATGGCAGTTAGCACTTCCACTTCACCCCCCAGGATCCTAACCACTGGTAGGTTGACCAGCTCATCCCAATTTTCCCTGGACTTTCTTGGTTTTAGCATTGAAATAATCACTTCCCAGGAATCTCCTCAATCCCAGGCAAACCAGGATAGCTGCTCACCCTATCCATTGGACTGCTCTCCCAAGTTCCCACCGTTTAGCTGAGTTCAGGTAAATGGTCTCATCTTCATTCCTTCACCTCCTCACCACTTCTCAACCCACTTCTGCCACCCCACCCTCCAACAAGAGCCTATCATCCATTCTCTTTTCTCACATCTTTTCACCCACTCTATTATTAAGCCCTATTGATGATTCCCAAATATACATCTGTAGCACTCCTCCCTCATGTTTGAAGGGAGTTGGGGAGTTGCCCTGTGACAGAAACACTCGCAAGACTTTTACAAACATTATTTTATTTCATCTTCAGAGTAACTTTGTAAGATAAGTAATATTACTATCTCCATCTTCGTAGATGAGGAAACCTTTAAAACCTTAATAACTGGTGGAGCCAGTATTCACATGCGGTTCAACCTGACTCCAGAGTTCATACTCCTCAGAAATACCTTGCCTGAGTGCCCTCTACATTCTCCCTCTGTCCCCTGTTTTGGTTTCTCTGGTAATACTCACCTTTACCTAAAAGTTTCTATTTGTATAGTGTTGGTCCAAGAAGACAACCACTTTGTGTGTTTTTTCTTCTTTTTTAAAAAAAAATATATTTTATTGATTTTTCACAGAGAGGAAGAGAGAGGGATAGAGAGTTAGAAACATCGATGAGAAAGAATCATCGATCAGCTGCCTCTTGCACACCCCCTAATGGGGATGTGCCGCAACCACGGTACATGCCCCTGACCGGAATCGAACCTGGGACCCTTCAGTCCGCAGACCAACGCTCTATCCATTGAGCCAAACTGGCCTCGGCCACTTTGTTTTATTTATAATACCATATTCTCACTATCCTTCTCAAAGTTGAGCATACATCGGAATGCTGTAAAGGACTGGTTAAAACAGACTGTTTGACTCCCACTCCCAGAAGTTCTGATTCAGTGTGCCTCATGTGGGGCCTAAGAATTTGCATTTCTAACAAGTTGCCAGGTGATGCTAATGTGGCTGATATGAAGACCATACTTTGAGAACCACACTTTAGAACATGGTAGGAAAGTCAATCCATATTTGTTGAACGAATTAGATCAGTCACTTGTCAAATGTTATTACTAGAGGCTCGATACACGAAATTTGTGCAAGAGTAGGTCTTCACAGCTGCAGCCTCAATCCCTCCCTCACAGGTGTGGTGGCTGCAGCCCCAGCTTCATCCCGGAAGGACATCCTGAAGGACATCTGGTCTAATTAGCATATTACACTTTTATTATTATAGATTGAACCCCCTCTGGAAGTGAATATATGAAATAATACTACTGATATTAGCTTTTTCCAGAACTAATTAGCATTTTTCTCTGTTTATAGAGCACCTCTTTAGTCACCAGAGAAGCTTAGAAAAAGAGCTCTGATTTGGACAATGGGTGAAAGGGCTGAGCTAGGAAAGGAAACCTTTTATTCTATATATTAACTTGTGCCACTAAAGGGAGTCTGTATTTGGAATGAGCAGTGTGTGTTCTCAATTTTGGTGAATGACACCATAACCCATCACTTACCAATTCAGAAACCTGAAAGTCATCTTGACTCCTCTCTATGTCTTGGCTCTCAAGGTTAATTATCCAAAAAGCTCTGCTTATGAAATTGATAGATGGCAACAAGGGAAAGATCTCAATGTTCACTCTGCAGGGATAAGCCTGAACTTGTCCCACAAATGACTTTGTGACCTTGGGGAAGTCATTTAGTTCCTCAGAACCTTGTTTTCTTCATTTGAAATTAGAAAACATTGGATTAGATCATAATTGTCAAATGGGTTTAATTGCTAAAGTACCTGGAAATAAGGATCTCTGTAGGAAATACTTTGTAATACTGACTCATTTAATCTGTCATATTAGTCAAGAAACAATTTCATTAGTAGGATCTATTAGTATATCATTCAAAAGTAATATAAAAATCAATTTTGAAATTATTCTATATAATAAAAGGCTAATATGCAAATTGTCCCCACTGGTGGGAGTTCTACTGACCAGGAGTTAGATGTGCGCTGACCACTATGGTGGAACATGGTGGGCAGCAGCGACATGGCACAGGCAGCAGTGGAGGCACTGCTGGCCCTGATGAGCCCTGATGAGAGTGGGACCATGGTGGGATGATGGAGCAGATGAACAGGCAGTGCCAGGCCAAAGCAGGTGCGAGCAGGGACCCCGATCGCCCTGTCAATTGCCCCACAGATGGCCCTGATCGCCCGCCAGGCCTAGGGACCCTACCCATGCAAGAATTTCATGCACCAGGCCTCTAATATGTCTATAAAATAATAAGGCATGTAATTTATCATGCTCAGCCCATTCTAAATTTATATTTGCCTGTTGGGAGGTAAACAAAAAACAGATTCCAAAGGCTTGTGAAAATTTGAAGGAAAAACATTGATTAAATCATATCTTGTGAAAGTGTGGAGGGAAAACTGATTAAATCATATCTTTCAGTTGATCTTTTCTGAAAATTGAGAACAGCTACCATATTAAATTTTTAGTACTAGCATTCTTCTGGAGCTGTGGTCGGCAAACTGCGTGCAGCTCGGGCTTGTTTGCCACTCTGTTGACTAATGAATTTGCCAATCACTGCTCTGGAGTAAGGTGTGAGAACCACTTGCTTTTCTAAAGTCCTATGTCATTAAGGGCTTCAAAAGTCTAGTTTTCAGACTCCTTCTTCATTTTTAGATAAGCACTGCCACCTCGTGGCAGGATTTTGTCATGTAAGTTCACCTATCCTAAAACCTTTTTTTAAAATTTTTATTTAAAAGATATTCAAAGAGTTGTCGAAACTTTCCTTTGGTACAGTGAAATAATTGCATCTCTCAGAATCTGCTTTTAAAAATTCATGCTGTAATCCCATATGATTATGAAGCTTATTTTGGAGAGTGTGCTGCTTGAAGGCCAGGGTGTTTTTCTTGCTTAATGTAGTACACACTGACCTCTGAAAATGTCACAGGACCTGACACATAGTGGGTGTTTAATGAATAATTGTGGGACAAATGATTAAAATACCATGGCCTAAAACAAACAAACAAACAAAAAACAAACCAAGAAACACCAGGGCCTTTTGCCAAGGCGTGACAGCACACACACCATCAGCTTCTTATATGCAGAAGCTCCTTTACCACCACTTTTGGCAACCTAAAGTACTTCTAACATATTCATCCACTCACTCAACAAACCTCAAGCACCTATTTTAAGCCTATGCTAGAAACAGAAAATATAACGATGAATAAAATACAGTCTTATTCTCAGACAGGTTTCCATTGCTGGCTGGAGACAGGCAAGCAGACCAGCTTGTGTAATAGTGGAAGAATGTACAATAGCTGCGGAGCCCCAAGAGAGGAGCAACTGACTTTGCCTGGGGTAAGTCAGGAGACGATGACTCCCAAACTGATTTTCCAAATGGACTGGAGTTCTCCAGGCTGGCACAGGAGGGAAAGGCATTCCAGGTATGTGTAGGGGCTTGATAAAGCATGTTGTGTTCGGGGAACTGAAAGTAGGTCAGTATGACTGGAGCATAGGATGTGTGTGTGTGTGTGTGTGTGTGTGTGTGTGTGGTGGGGGTGAGGATGGCCAGCACAGTGGATTGCTCCTAACTGTTCATAGGATAAAGGCTGAAAGATAAACAGGGAAGAACAAATCTAGATCTAGAATGCTATGCCTAGAATTTAGTTTTCAGACTCTA